AGCGTGTCACCTTGGGGAGCACCCGTTCTCTTTGTTAAGAAGAAGGATGGATCCATGCGCATGTGTATCGACTACCGGGATCTCAACCGGTTGACGATCAAAAACAAGTACCCGCTTCCCAGGATCGACGACTTATTTGATCAGTTGAGGGGAGCCTGTGTGTTCTCAAAGATTGGCTTACGATCAGGCTACCACCAGCTGAAGATTAAGGAATCAGATATCGCTAAGACCGCTTTCAGGACTCGTTACGGCCATTACGAGTTTGTCGTCATGCCTTTCGGTCTCAGCAATGCACCAGCAGTTTTCATGGATCTTATGAACCGTATATTCCATCCCTACCTCGATCAGTTCGTTATTGTCTTTATTGACGATATCCTCATCTACTCGAAGAGCCAGAAGGAGCACGAGGAGCATCTGAGGGTAGTTCTCAAAACCCTCAGACGAGAAAAGTTGTTTGCAAAGTTCTCCAAATGCGAGTTCTGGCTCCAGCGAGTATCCCATGTGATTACTCAGGCAGGCATCGAGGTGGATCCTTCCAAGCTCTCAGCCGTTCAGAACTGGTCTACACCGAGGAGTCCGTCCGAGGTTCACAGTTTTCTCGGTTTAGCTGGTTATTATCGTAGTTTTATCGAGGGCTTTTCCAAGATCGCCCTCCCTCTTTCCCAGCTGACGAGGAAGTCTGTGAAGTTCGAGTGGACTAATCGTTGTGAAGCGAGCTTTCAGGAGCTCAAGAGGAGGTTAACTTCAGCACCGGTGTTGACTATTCCCGATCCTTCTCGGAATTTCACTATCTTCAGCGATGCTTCGAGACAGGGCTTGGGATGTGTCCTTATGCAGGACGGCCAAGTCGTCGCGTATGCTTCACGTCAACTTAAGCCTCATGAGCAGAATTATCCGATGCACGACTTGGAGTTAGCAGCAGTCGTTCATGCTCTCAAGATCTGGCGACATTATCTTTACGGCGGACGTTGCGAGATTTTCACAGACCATAAGAGCCTGCAGTACATCTTCACGCAAAAGGAACTCAATATGAGGCAGCGCCGTTGGCTCTAACTTGTCATGGATTACGATTGTTCTATTCAGTATCATCCGGGAAAGGTGAACGTCGTCGCGGACGCCCTTAGCCGAAAGGTGAAGGGTGACTTGACGTACGTCATTACGCAGCAAAGTCCGTTGATTCAGAAGTTTGCCCGGATGTAGCTTCAGGCGATCGATGCACTTCCCATAACCGTTTCGGAGAGTACCAGTGCCAGTATTAGCGCTATGCAGCTTCAGCCGACGCTGAGAGAGAGAATGCGGCGAGAGCAGGCTTCTGACGAGTTTGTTCGTGTCATGGAGGCCAAGGCTCGCGCCGGGGGCGTCAAGGATTTTCAGCTAGGTGTCGATGGTGCCCTAGAGTTCAGAGGCAGGATCGTGGTTCCGAAGGTCGAAGCGTTGCGGAAGGAGATTTTATCAGAGGCTC